CTAAGACAAAATGTGTCATGTGGGTTACACTAGTGGAAATTCAGTTTTTTCTATATATTTCCTTTTAGAATTAAGAACTTAAAACTTGTATTCTATTAAAATATGGATTATTAGCTATGATTTCATGCTATTCTAATTGGTATAACATAAACAAAACGTAGTTTAATAAAATTTTGAATGTAAGACACAAAAACCTTGTGTCATTTGCAGTAAAGAGTACCCAGGATGATAGGGTTAAAGCCAGCTCTTATATTGATTTTTTGAGTAATTCCAATGTTTCTTCAAATGTTGATCAAGCTCCGATTGTAACCTAGTCATGTTGTATTATCACTCTTAATCTTGAAGTACTAAGTTTGTGTTTTTGTTTATTAATGAGTTACAAATTCATATTTTTTTATTAACTCATGACTTTATTTATATTTTCAGTATTCTGTCCGAAAGTCAAGATATACAAATCAGCTTTCAACAATTTCATCAGAAATGAGGTAAAATATAATAGGAGTTAATAATTCACTAACTTAGAACAAATGTATACAACTAACTACTTAAGCTAAGAGAAAATAAATAGTACTATAGCCAAATATGTGAGATGGCCAGATTAACTAAATACCATGTTATTCACAGATTTAATGGCAAAAACAGGAAGATTCATTACATACTCTATTACAGAGCAGTGCCTAGATTTTCTCTCTTTTTGACTGTGTTTTAATGAAAAGAAAAAGACTAGACACAGAGTTGTAAACAATCACAATCTTTATTTTTACAAAACAACCAAATTCCAGTTAAACATTTGAACATCTGATTCTGTGGTTCACTGGAAAGAGAGAGAGAGCTTTATCTAGCAGATAAAGTGGAGTAGGGAAGTGTGATATGCAACCTGACCAGGCTATCACTAACTTTCAAACTTAAACTATCAAAGTTAAACTTGCACATTGCTCTTATTCCTGCAGAAACACTTGTCATACAATACATATTAACTCTATGATTACAGGCACTCCTGTTCTACGCATGTCACAAGATTTTACTTTGTTATGTTCAAAATTCAGTTAAGCAATCTTACGATCAACTTATACTATGAAAGTAGTATTAAAATTTACATTTATAGTTCAAAGTTTTATAGTATCTAACTTTTAATTCCTTTATTTCAAAAGAAACCTTAAATAAAAATTCTTAAGCTTCAGTTTGATGCACAAATTCACAAAATCTATTCTTCTGGACTTTGTAACTTGAATACTTCTTGATGTATACTAACCTGCCATGTATATGTAGAATCTAGGTTAATTGCTCTCTTTACACATTCTTCGTTCAAGCTCATTAGAACATGTTTGGAGAAAAAAAAAGAAATTTCTTGGAACTGTTGACAGATGCCATGCCCAATTTCTACATACAGAGTTTAAATTTTTCAGTCAATTATATTTAGTTGAGCTAGATGTTTATAACCAATAGAATCACCACAATTTAAAATATGATTCCCCAATAGTTATTTTAAAATTGATGTGAAGAATTTCATAGAGAACTTGCCAAATGCTCTTAGCACTGTTGCTGCTTGTATCCATGCAAGCACTTTAGCATTGTTTCTCACCTATAAATATGTTAGTTAGATAGACAATTAAATTGCATTCAGGTTTTAGTTTTATATTTTAGTTAATTATGCATTATTTATATTTTAAAGTGCGTATTAGAAAGGTTTAATAATTTTTTTTCAAATATAAGTCAAACTGCCTTGGTTCATCAGGCTTTGTGTAGTAGGCGAAAGTGCCAACACTCTCATGAAGGCTAAAGTGTCTCTGCTGATGATACCCTAATTTTGCCCGAGAATACTGATTGACATGTGTTGCAATAAGTAATAATGCTAAAGGACAGGAAACAAAAATAAATTATATGTGAAAAAGTAAAAACTTACAATTAAGAATATAACCAAAAAAATGTTTTTAAGATTATTCAACAAAAAATTAAAATTTTATACATTTCATTGTACTATATGTTGATGAAAATACATGAAATATTCAGAGTCTGAGTGCATATAAGTACAATACAAAAATATCAAATCTTTAGTTAAAATACTTAATGAAAATAATCTAATTCTTCTTTGTACAAAATATTTGTAATCTTTAACAAAATCTTACCAATTGTTGTGAAGGTATGTTTAGAAAGTTCAGAGTTATTGTAAGTATTGTTGAACTGTGTATCATTCTCCATATGAGAAGTAGCCAAATGGTTTCAGCCCCGTAACTATAAGGTTAACAACACAGGAAAAGCAACTTTACAAAAACAGAATAAGTACAGAAGATCAAAAACATCAATATATATATATATATATATATATATAAAAGCCAAGTGGCAGTCAGTCACTTTCAATTTCTTCGAATTTTGTGAGTTACACAAGTCCAATTTCACTTTTTCCCTTATAATACTTCCTCTTTTGATTGCTAGAATAGGCTTAAATAGCTCCTAAATTTCAACACTTTTCTGCTTTATAAAAGCCTGTCAAGGAGGGAGTTTCCAGGACCAGATCAGGCATGCCATTATATACATGACACCACATGATTCACATCATTCTGACGTCAAGCTAGGTAGGATCTGAATAGGAAAGCCGGGAAGTCTCCTGTGAAAAATAAGTAAAAAATTAGCACAAATTTATGCTTGAGAATTATTATGAAAAATCTTTTGTTAAAACAGACTGAAGATACCAATTATCTGTAGAGAAGAAGATGACTTTTCTTCAGAAAAAGAACAGGTGTGTATGCAATCATATGGTCATCGTATGTTTTAATCTTTTATCCAAAAGCACCAATATGTAGTGGATTCAGGAGCAATAGGTAATATGTTTCTGAGAAAGGAAATTTTATATATTTTTTTTGTCAGTTTTATATGGAATAGTTTTGATTTCCAGTGATTTCCCATCATTTTTACTGGCTTTTATGCTAGTAGCATAATATACCCTTTAACAAAAAACCAGAACGTGATGCATATAAATAAGAACCCTTTACTACAGATACAGTAGAATCCAAACACATTGAAGTAAAACCTTTGAACAAAGATCATATACAAGTAAAACCCAAATCACTTTAACAGTGATAACACAAAATGAAAAACCTTTTAACAACAAAGTACATGAAATGAAACCCTGATGTTCAGATGAAGGATCTCTCAGGCCATCACAAGTGCCTTTTGAGTTTTTGCCAGCTCATCTCAGAGCCAATTCTCTTCTCCCTACTAGTGTGATGGAGCTTTTTTTTAAGTTTCAACACATAATCTTACTTAGTGTTATAGAGTGCCCAGGCCTCTCCATCCACCTTTTGACTATCTGCTTCTGACAGTGGTGCTTTAATATCTGTATCTGCTGCAACAAGATTTCTTTCAATATTTTGGTTGGGGGTTTGTGGAGGGAAGTTTTGTTTTTTTTCTGTGGTAGGTTCCTCATCTTGTTGCAGTCCTATTTACAGCAGTACTTGCTTTGCTGTTATGGTGGCAGAGGGCCAAACTGTGGACAGTTTCCTTCTGATAGCTGATTAGGTATACACTTTCCCAGCATTTGTATATCAATTTTTTCCTAAATATCTTGTGCTCTGGAGAGTCGTTTGTGGATGGGAAATGTGATTATCAGTTCAGGGGTATAGACATAGAAGATGCCTCTTTGGCTTCTCTTTGCTGTGTTCTCACTTGCAAATTGGTTCTTGGGCTTACTTCTAGATGATGGTCTTACTGGTTGAGCTGCAGTAAGGTAGTTCTTAAGCTGGCTTGATTTAGCCTATGTTTACAGCTCAGTGGACATTCCTTTTCATGGTGGGTGGTTTCACTGGTGATTCCAGGGACTTCAAACAGAGCCAGGTGGTGACCTTAGTCAAACCTCTTATGTCCATCATGTTGTCCAGCAAAGTGTTTTCAGCCATGAGTTCTGCCAAAGTGAAAGCTAAGCTAGACACAAAAGCCATAGGCACCATTGTACATCCAAGCAGATCCTCAAAGTTCTCAAACAGGTAGCTCTCTGCATACTCACTCTCCATGATGTTAATAGAACTTAAGGATTCTCTAGCAACACAAACATAATGATCTAGAACTGGCTAGTTCAAAAACGATATTACCAGATAGAGTTGGGATTGAAAGTCTAAGACTGGATGAATTTTGATTGATCAGAAAACTTGATCAAAACTATTGATTTTATTAAGTGAGATTTCCACAGGGTTACATATACTCACAAATGTCTATCGCTTGTATACAATGTATCACTAACACCTGTGGACATCCTTCTCTACTTAGGTTACATCAGATCTCATACTTGACTAGAACTAAGCTGTTTTTTGTTGTTGTGATGATAGTTCATGACTATTCTGGAACTAAGCTGCTTTCCTTTCCCTACTTTCTAGTTTTTATACAAAACAGAGAACCTTATCTAGTAGGCAGAAAATGAGAAGCAAGACTATTAACTGTGATATCTTCACAATTATCCAAAAGTAGGTCAGCTACTGCATTTTCACAAATCTCAATTCTCTAACTATGGAAATTCAGTAATACTAAAATCTTTTAACATTTTTTTTTAATTGTGAGCTTGTGGCCCTCTTTCCAAAGCATTCATCAGGCTACTATGTAATTAATAATACAAATTCATTTACCTGTGGAACACTCCTTAAAGGTAGTTGTCTACGTAACAATCTTCACAATATCTACCATTTAGTACTATAATAAGTACAAACTTGTCACAGAAAGATTTAAATTTTTTTCATAGATTGTAGAATCAGAACCTTGATCTTTGTATAATAATATAAGTACGTTATACAATCTGGTTTTTAAAAATATTTAAGATGGAACAATTATTTGAAATAATAAATGTAAAAATTATGCAACCATAGTTATTATATGGAAAAATATAACGTTCAAAATTCAAATAACACATTATAGAATTATTGATCATGAATAAAACACAAAGAAATGATATGTTTAATGAATTTGGTAAATATTATCCATATAGTAGTAATTTGTTATTTGCTGTTGTTTTGATTAATAGCCACTGGTGGTCCACTGTCTTTTGCTTGTACATGCCATCCTTTAGAGATACTAATATATCCTGAAGTGCAGAGAGAATTCCAAAATGGTAGTAACAACCACCAGTTTTTGTTGAATATTTAATATTCTTTTTTGTCTTTAGCAGACTTCTGGCATCTTTGAACAATGTTGGATGATGTGCTTTCAACCTGATAAGTGAACAGGATAGTGCTACCAAAGAAATGTTAAATTCCAATGCCCATTCTCTCAAACTGTCAACTAGTGTACTTTCTTCATTTTTTGAAAGGCCATCAGACTCAGAATTTGTTGATGTGTCATACATAGTTTCTTCACAAAATTCATTTTCTGTATTAATCTGTATAGCATTATTACTTAATATCCCAAAAGCAACATCACCCAACTGAACCTGATTTGAGCAGTCTTTAGCTGGTTCACTAGATAAGAATGTATCCTTAATACTACTACTACTACTACTACTATG